TCAAGATTCCCAGTGGATGAACTTGGTTTATCCTCTGGCATGTTTTGGACACACAAACGGTTTTATATACCTTCTGCATGATGAAGGTTTTCTTTGTCCACCTTGGACAGGACTGGAAACCACTGTAGATCTGAAAGGTTTCATAGCATAAGATGAATTTGAGTGAATTTTTTTGTTGAGCTTTAAGTGTTTGTTGTTTGATTGCCTACACAGAAGACGGACAGAGTCAACGTGTCGTCAACCACTAGATGTATATTTATTTATTTACATTCATATTTTAGGGGCTCATTATTGGCGTTTAGGCTGCTGCTACAAATGCCACTAAGCTTGGTCATCAAACATTACGGTTTTAATGTACAGCTAATGTAAAATTTTACTCAGCATAACTGACGCCCAAACTGTTTTTAGACTGTTAAAGGCAAGAACAGCACAGACAGGATGAAGAAATATAGTTAGTGATAGTGGGGCCTAGCACACTTGATTTGGTTACACCACCTCAGAGCTGTTATAAAGTGAGAGAAAATCTAACAAGGACTTTTTTAATACTGTAAAGTTGTATAATTTAATAACATGCATTGACATTCATGGAATTGCTACATATTCAATAAGACTTTTTTAAAGTTTAGTGGAGTGCAATGAAATAAAAAAAAAGCATAATTGAAAATAAAGTATCTGAATTTCAGGAGCCGGACCTCGCCTCCGAACCTATCTATGTATGTTCCACCAAATCTACAAGATGTTCATTCTCGTTTACGTGAACGTGATGTGTTTCTTTAAAGCCCTAAGATGTTTCTAAGTTACAAATCTTGCATAGATTATTATGCTATTTTAATATAAATAAAAACAAATAAGTCAAATGTTTTTGTCTCCTAAAGAGATTTGTGCGTAAGGTAATGAATACTCGAATCACACTGTTGTGAGATCCTGGTTCCAGATTCAGTTTTGACTTCTAGAGCTAAGCATGGACAAGCATCAGTTTACATCAGTGAACTTTTACATCAATGCATTCAAAGCAGATCCCTGAGGTCATGTGATCTGGACCTGCTGGCTGTGCAAAATACAAGGCTGAGGATGAAAGGAGACTTTTTTTCTGTCTTTAATTTTAGCATTTCATTGTAAAGCACTGTAATATTATTTTTATCTTGAATAAAATTGTATTTACTTTATTTATTTACTTAATTGTTCCTGACCACAGGTTAAATTACTTAATGTGATAAAGCATTTATTTAAGACCTTCTTAGCGAGCAGTGAGGGGGCGTAATGTATCAGGCCATTTCTGCAACACTCACATTACTGAGCATTTAGCCAAATGTACAGATGTGAGAAAATAGGGAGGATATTAACCTCACCTTCAACCTGTTTTCTTATTCTCTACAAAACTAATTCTGCCACCTTTTGCATGTACAATCAATAACAGCACCATGAATGTTTTGGAGAGACTGTCTGAGAATGTGTGCTGTTATCTTTAGTTGTGCATCGATTGCATTAGGGAAACAAAAACAAGAAAAACTGTTTATAGATAGAGATCCGACAGACAATACGATACAAAGGCCAAATGGATTCATAAAGGTCAAAACTGGACTTAAAAAAAGGAAATCAGAGCGCTGGTGGAGGGGTAAAGACACTCTATGCACATGTCCTTGTTGTGTCACTCCATGAAATACTAGCAAAAAATACTTAAAGAACTGTGCTACATAATTACAACCTATTAGAAGCCAAACCTAAATTTATCCGTGAAATTCCTTTATTCTTTTCCCACGCTTTACTACCTCCATCTCATTTATACATCCTTTCTTGTTGCTTTTTCACCTGCTGCTTATATTTCCCCCACGTTTCTTTCAAGTATATCTCATTTATCTCCCACCTCCAGTCTTCTCTTTGCCTCTACATAACACTCAGCTTCCAACACAATGCTGTCTTGTTGTTGTGCATGTGTGTTCTCTGTCAGGGGCAAGCTCTTTGAGCTCAGGAAGAGCGGTCCAAGTAGCATTCACGCGCACACACACATACACATACACACACACACTGAGGATGAGAATCTCTGGCATAGCCTTTCCCACCGCTGCCCTCACTAAATCAACAGGCTCACACAAACAAGCTCATTCGCACTGCTGCACCATCAAACAGGCTTTTGTCTCTCCTGCACTGCCACTCCAATCATACACACTTACCTCGTCACATGCATGAAAGCTCATTACTGAAGCCAAAACAAAACCTCCAAACTAAAGCACAAATTCCTCTACTTCAAAGAGTCAAGTACAGCCTCAGCAAGGAGAAAAAACAGCACACAGTGACAGTTACGGTAAAAAAAGTTTTATTGATATGGCACCTTTCATTATTTAATAATAAAACACATTGTTTGTCCAGCAGAAAATGGACATAAATTTCTTCCTTTACAATATTTTCCCTTTTTTTAATATAACTGTAACAAACTGCATGTGCTGTTATATATCTATTCAGGCTTTCAGGGAAGCTGGAGACTGTCATATGTGAGAGATGAGGTACACCCTGAAGAGGTCGCCAGTCTATCGCAGGGAAAAAGCTTAATTTATACTTCCGAGTCTAAAACATAAAACAGCATAGCCTAAGCAATTGGCTAACGCTGCTGTTAGCATTCGTACTTCTGTGTAGTGTGCCCGCAGAAGTCTGCAATTTCACCTCCAATACACTAGTTGGCAGTGAACTTTTAGTTTTGAGCTTATCCATTCTCTTCCAGTTGGTTCACTAACTGGCATTACATTTTACATTACATTTCTAGGGAGGTGCACATTGGTTAGGGTGCAGGGTTTAAGAAGAGTTTCTGATTATGACGTTATGGAGTAGATTTAAATCAGAGGTATAAATCCCACTAAACAGAGAAACCAACAACCAGTTACCCTCACATTCACAACTATCGCCAATTTAGAATCCCCGGTTAAACAAATGAGTGCATCTCTGGACTGTGGAAGGAAACAGGCCAGAGCACCCAAAGATCAACTCCACAAGAAAGGCCCCAGCTTGCCAGTGCATCCAAACCAGCACCTTTCTGCTGTGAGGCAACAGTGCTAACCACTGTACAATATATACGTTTTTAACCTCTAAAAATTCACATAAATCTTTAATGGCAAACATTACCTAAAAGAAGGCACTTAGAGACACACAGAGAGACACGTGGTTACATGTCTAACAACTATCCGCAGAACAGTAACAGTTGAATCATATTAAAGACATCATGAAATTTACTCTCAGCTGAGTAAAAGTCCTCATTATTCTTCCCCCCCAAAAAGTAAACAAAACACTTTACACGTCGAGTCACTCGGTGAGTTTGTTCCAACATGTAACTCTAAAGCTTTGTTGCCAACCGTCCATCCGTGAAGATGAATTTTTCAACTGTCAACATCATATGTGCACGGGTTTGTAGGAAGGCGAACCTTGATTGACTGACGCAAATTTCCAAAATAGATAAAATCTGATGAGGCTAGTGAAAATACCAGGTGTGTTTGGAACCTGGAAAACAAGCAAAACAAGGAAGAAGAAGAAAAAAAACAACATGTTATCGCTTCAATCCTCACACAACACTGACAGCTGAGCTTACAGGTATGCAAGTGCGTATTCATGATGTCTTACCACAATATAGTAGTCGCTCAGCTGAAGGCCGTAGAAGACCCAGGAGGTTGAAGTGAAGAAGGTGGCTACAGTCAGAGGGAAGGACAAGCACTGCACGTTACCACTACGCACAATCTCTACCTGCAAAGGCAGAGAGGAGGAGGGATGCCATTAACATACACTTCAAAGCTGGATTATTACAGTTTTTAATATTTACAAGGGATCGAATTACCAACTGCTACATGAAAGGTGCCTTCAGTGATGACCCCTGAGAGAGAGAATTACTCTATTCAAATATCAACATACCAGCATGCCTCTTCAGAAATGCTCTCTATAGACGTTCCCACAGCTACATTGTCACACACTTCCAATGCCGGAAGGAGTAAGTGTGCACTGCTTTGCCCACATTTTAACTATTGTATCGTGCGCCACTTTATGACTGGCAGACTCTTCATGCTGCTTTTAAAAGGGGCCATTTGGAAGTGATGTAAACACTGGGTACTTCTAAAGTGGTCAGATGACACACTGTACTCCATTTTATTTGAAGGTACTGAAACCCAAAAGAGAACTTAACTAAAGTGTTGATAACTCAGTGCAAAGGAAACCTATGAGTGTTTTAAATTAAGAGCTTAGGCAGTAAATTTACATTTATACCTTTGTTTTACTTTCACAATATATTAAGTTGTCCTCTGGGTTAGTTTAAAGTATACATTATCTGGCTGCTTGTTGGAGTTTTTTTTTAAATCCAATTTTTGCTTAGAAATTTCACCACATTCCCAACCTGTAATTTAAAAAAAACAAAACAATGATCTTTAAGCAGGCAGCTTTGGATTTTAAGCAATTTGTGCAGTGCCTACGTCATTTTATATAAACTTTAAGCAGAAAACATAATGGAACCAAAGGGCCAGGGAACACACAAGACAGAAACTGGGAATAACAGGAAGACAGATGAGGGAAAGAAAGGCAGGAAGCTGACTGGGGGTCATTCGGTGCTGTGAGGCAGATGGAGGGAAGGAGACAAACAGGATAGAAGACGGAACCAGAAGATCAAATACAGTGACAAAAGGAAAGAGCGAGAACAGGGGATTTATCCCTTCACTGCATAGCTGCACATGCAGACTGAGATGTGAGCAGATGAATTAAAGCGAGCAGCTGCTGCCAGTGCAGTGGGTTCAACGAGGAACACGTTCAGGAAATGAGACTGAAGATATGAGGTTCCTATTGTAGATACTAAACACAATCAGTGTTATCATAAATACAGTGAGGGTACTATGAACTATAATGCATGTACACAATCACCTGCCACTATATTAGATACACCTATATAAATGCTTATTAACGCAAACATCTAACCAACCAATCATATCATAGCAACTCAGTGTATTTACCCACGCAGACATTATCAACATGACTGCTGAAGCTCAAACTGAGCATCACAGTGGGGAAGAAAGGTGATTTAAGTGACTTTGAATATGGCATGGTTGTTGGTGCCAGACAGGGTGGTCTGAATATTTCAGCCTCTGCTGATCTTCTTGGATTTTCCCAAACAACCATCTCTAAGGTTTGAATGGTATGAGAAAGAAAATTCCCGCTGACTGGATATTTTCTCTGAGTGCCTTGTTGATGTCAGGAGAATGGACAGACTGATTTGGGCTGATAAGAAGGCAACACCCATTACAACCAAGGCACGCAGAAGAATATCTTTAAATGTAAAACATGTCGAACCTTATGTGAGAGATTCAAGCTGGTGGGGGTATAACAGTGTAGGGGAGACTTTCTTGTACCCTCTGGCCACCTTGGAATCAATTAAGGATTTAATCGCCACAGCCTGCCTGAGTATTGTTGCTGACCATGTCCATCCTATGATCACAGTCTGCCCACGGCTGCTTCCAGCAGTATAACACCCCATGCCACAAAGTTTAAATCATCTCAAATTGCTTTCTTAAAGATGACAATGAGTTCACTGTACTCCAATGTCATCCACAGTCACCAGATCTCAAACCAATAGTACATCACAGATGTGAAGCCAACAAATCTGCAGCAACTGTGTGATGCTAACATGTCAATATGGAGAAAGATCTCAGAGGAGTATTTCCAGCACCCTGTTGAATCTATACCATGAAGAATTACGGCAGTTCTAAAGGGAAAAGCAGGACTGATATGTTATTAGCAAGGGGTACCTAATAAATTGTTCAGTAAGTCTATATTGCAAAAAAGTTTACCCAAAAAAAAAAAATCTTCCTAGTAGCAGCCATTAGTTCAACTGATTATTTAACTCGCTGCTGCAAGGTTAGGTTCAATAGAATCTTTTAAATAAATGTTTTGAAGCGACTCACAAATATGTAAACAATGTAACACTATTAATGCTGTGCTACATTACAGAAAAATATGACCACACTAACAAGCCTATAATATATGAATTGCACAAGGGCAAGCACTGTGTGGGCTGCCTGTTAATGGAAAAAGCAATAATGATTCTGAATGAGCGGCAACAACCAGCAAGGAGTCCGCTACTAGTGGAGTTTCAAGTTTCAAATAGTATACTATGCTGTTTGAGGTTGCCACGTAGTAGAGGAGTATTTGCTTCGTGGGACTGTTTACCCTCTCAACCCTTTAGATTTCCTGCCTGACATTTCTAATCTATTAACTGCAGGCGCAAGACATGAAACTGACACTGTCCTTGTGTGAACGAGTGTCGTCATTCTGAGTTCACTGTGGAGGTCGACCGACCAATCAAACACTTTGTTGATTACAACACTTTTCATCTACTAACTTTTAGTTGAGGGGGGAGGTGTGCAGTAAAGCACACACAATATATGCTATTAAAGATCAACTTTTCTGATGCCTCTAGTTGAAGGAAAGTCCTTTTGAATCCAACCACCTGTCAAATGACTGTTTTTAGTGTAACACCCAATTGTTGAGATGTTCTCATGTAGTACAGGAACGTCTGGACTTATGTGCAAATGTTCTTCAGTAGTTTGGATAGAGATATTGTTGTTGCTCTGAGCGAGAATTGTTATAATAGCTGTGGCACACCACATGGCTCGATCCTGGGACTAACCTTCTTTAGCCTTTAAATGCTGCCCCTTGGGTGTATCATCAGGAGACATGGCACCAGTTTTTAGATAGATGTTCATCGTAATCTGCTATGCTGTATTATAATACAAGTCTTACTGATGCCCCCACTGAGGCTTTGATGGCTTAGCTCTTTCACGTGTTAGCCAAATGTGTTAATAATGACACCACAGAGACACGTCTTCACTGTTGTAAATATTCAGTTTGATTTACGGTACTGCCTGGGTAGAGTGTGCAAAAGGCAGAGCACATGACACTGACTCTCATATCAGTGAAAACAGATGTTACATGGACTTTGATCCTGGCAGATTAAATACTGTTTAACGCCTGATCAGACTCTACTGGGTTTTGCATTATCACAAGAACCTCCTTTGGGTAAGTTCTAAGAAAGCTCACAGGTGCCGTACATGTGTAAGATTGGCATATGTAAATCTTTTAAGACTCAAAGCCAGTCCCATTTCTGGGCTCCTCGAGGACCTCAGAGTTTGTGGGGAGATTAAAAAAAATTACTTTACAAAATGACTTTTGCCCCCAGTGGCTGACTTTATATAGTGCAGAGGAAGGGAATTAATTTTCCCAACAGAAACTGGGACTGTTTTTGAAGGGTCCAAAATTTGAACTCAATACTAATTGTATATCTTTATAAGCTTATTGGTGCAGCCCTATACAGCAGTCCCAGTTTCTCATATGGCATTTTGCAAAAATTAATTTCCCCCCATCTAGTGTTTTTATTATGTCCTGAAAAATGTGATTAATGGATATGAGGATTATGTAGTAACATATAGAACAGGCAAAACTGGAAAGGATGGAAAACCAAAACAAAACAAAAGTGAAAACAAAACCAAAACTAGAAGGAAAAAAAACATTTACCAGCCAAGCCCATCACCATTTACTGGAAATGAAGCAGCAAACTGCAAACTGACTTCATTAACTGAACAAAAATAGTATCAGTTTGGTATGCTATTAATTATCCCCATATTAGCAGATAATATCAGATAATAATGCACACTAGTTTTTATAAATATTTTTGGTAAGTCATTTTCTGATTCTACTTCATTTGAAAAACGCTGAGGTTATTGTATTTCACACTAAGCTCTGGATGGCTTTACTTTGGCCTGTAGTAACACTGTGAGGAATCTTAGAGTCATTTCTTACCAGGACATTGCCTTCAACCGTGCACATTAAACAAATACCACGTACGTTAAACAAATAACATTGCTTTCTTTAGTCTCTGCAATATTGCTATGAGTAAAATGAAAAATGTTCTGTTTCACAGTGATGATGAAACTTTAGTCCACACATTCATTACTTTGAGGTGTGACTGTTGTAATTCCTCATTATCAGGATGTTCTAAAAGATTCATGAACACAGCACCTGTTAGAAATCTTTCTAACTATGAAAAATAGAGCACTGGTGTCCCATATTACATGTTTTTCAGCGGCTCCGTGTTGAATCCAAAGTTTAATTAAAATGCCATCTTCTCATGTGAAAGTCCTAAATGGTCAAGCCTCGTCATATCTTCCTCACAGACTGCTAGCTTACTTGTGGTTCCTGGGGCATTTTTTTAAATACTTTTTTTGGCCTTCTTCAGCGTTATTTGATAGACGCAGTGAA